CTGACAGGCCCGGCGGCGTGGGGAGTGTGGCCGCTCGGTATAGAGAAATAAAATACTCGCCAAGGGGTGGGCGGTCAGACACTGGAGGGGTTGTGGGGGCAATGTTGACTGGGTGGGTCGCTGAGCTGTGTGAGGTTCATACAGCGGGAGGTTGGCCCCGGCTGGAGGACCCCCTGCCTAAATTAATGTGCGGCTCTCTCAGACCTTTGTTGAAAAAGAAGAAATATGTATGTGCGTATATATATATATATGTATGTCTTTCTCATCCCATTTTTATATTTGTGAGCTTTAGTCATAGCTGGAAGTCATTTTAGTATTGTGTAATACTAGAAAAGATGTGTATGTTCTGACCACACGTGTGGAGAATTCATTCCAGGGTTCGGAGCAGTGTCATGATTATCACTGTGTTAGGCAAAGGCTTCTAAAAGGGGAAAATAACGACAGAATCGGTGCTGATGTCAGAATGTTCTGCCCCGTGGGAGGCTGCTGTTGTACATGCTGCCAGAAAATGCGGCCCGTCTGTTAAGTGCGTGTGTCACAGCTGCTGTTTCCATTGTGGTGCATGGAGAGCTATAGAAGCTACAGTTGCAGTAGGATAGTTTGGTAAAGCTCCCTCTTAAAAAACAAAACAAAACAAAAAAACCCCCAAACCCTCCCCAAAAAACCCAAAAACCGAGACCAGCCAACCAAACACCTCCAGAGGGACTGTCTGCTGTAACCCAGAATTTTCCACCACAGTGCGTTGTAAAGCAATTAAAGGTGGGGAGTTGTCTTATTGCCAGAAAGTGCCATCAACGCCATTCTGCTTTGCTTAAATGGTTAATTTGATCAGAAAAACATTCTTCCCTATCGCTGTTTCCAGCCAGTGCCGTGACTGACACATGTATCAAAATTCCATATGCAAACACACCTCTGCCCACACGCTCCGAAAAAGCATAATGCAATGAAGAGTGTGCACCCATCGCTCATCACAGAGAATGTCACTCATCAGTCAGAAGTGAATATTTACAACATAGGTTATTCAAAATGTAGGTGTCAAACTTGGGATGATTTGAAGGTATCAGCAGAACAGTCCTGCCTACCCTAGCACAGGCTGGCTTTGTTCTAGTTTAGATGGTGAAAATAACAGACGGACAAAGCCACATAACAGCAGGGCCATGTGGGACATGTCTGGCTTTGAAAATTTAATGAACTCTCATCTCTAGTAATAAGGGGTAACATAAAATGATACTGGTTTATGGTGTCTGACTTTGTAGGCTTATGTGGCTGTTGTGTTAACTTTATTCTCATTTTGTTTCCTGACTGGTGTTAGAATGGATACACCCCTCTGCATATTGCTGCCAAGAAAAATCAGATGCAGATAGCTACCACGCTATTGAACTATGGGGCTGAGACCAACATTTTGACCAAGCAGGGAGTCACCCCACTTCATTTGGCCTCCCAAGAAGGTCACACTGACATGGTGACCTTGCTTTTGGAGAAAGGATCCAATATCCATGTGGCAACAAAGGTAACTCACAACCGGAGACAACACACTGTGGGTGGGAGTATCCAGTAAGATGCAAAGTGCATTGCAGGAATGATGTGACATTGTCAGGAATTCTCAGCTTTGCTTCCTTACATGCATATTTGTGAGTCTGCAGAAGTGACAACAGGTGGGTGAACAGTAAAAGTGAGAAAAGGATATCTAGGACTGGCAGATGGATTGACCAGTTAACTCATGCCATGTAATTAGTAGCTGTACTGGCTAACGCACAGGAGGAGCTGCAGGTGTTTGCTGTGACTGGAGGACAATGATGTAACACCTGGCTCTGTTAGAGAGGTTACAGGAGGAAAAGCAGACCAAGAGAAAATTGTTTCTGAGAATTGAGGAAGGCAGGACTGCTGTATTTTTGTTGTGCTGCAACCTTGCCATCTCTCGGGTGTTTTGCATATGCTCCTGGAGTTTTACATTATGTGCAAAGGAAGAGGAATATAAAATTCTGGAGTTTGTGTGTAGGTAACAACATGTATGAGAAACCTGTGAGCTACACTTTAAAATAGTTCAGTGCTCTTGCCAGCAAAGGCGCTTTTCCTCATGTATTTACCCTTCAACCCTTCAACCTTCTTTCCAAGTGGAAGAAATTGGCAGTGTCTGGCAAATAACAAAACAACATTATTAGCAGAGTAGCGAGTGAGAAAAATCCTATGGACTACTTTTCCAATTTTTAATTTTTTTTTTTTTTTAAATGATTGTACATGACAGCTTATTCATAGAAAACAAGTTCCTCAAAAAAAACCCCATTACTGTAGATCTTCATAGGTCACCAGATTTATCCAGGCATATATGTAAGCCTTATGTACTTAAGGTCAAAAGCCTGCAGCTTTTGTTCATATAAGTCAAAATAGAAGGTTCATGTCTCTCATTGTCTGGCATTAATGTAATATGTTACCTAACCGATGAGAACGTGATCTTCATTTCTCTTACAAAATTTGCTCTCTGCCTTCTTCACAGGCAAGTACTGTGTGTATGATCACAGTGAGTTTTTAGTTAAAGGCTGCATCCATTTCCTTGGCATCTTTGAATGGTATCTATTTCTGGAGTTATTTTCTTCATTCTGACTCGTTCCTGCAGTTGTCAAGGTTCCCTTTCCTGTCTGAGGAGTGGGAAGCACAGTCAACGTGCTTCCCTAATTTATTAATGGGCTCCTCATCTTCCCCAGTGACATTATTGTATAAAATCCGAGCATGGTCATTGATGCCTGAAAGTTTTACTCTGTGGTTATGGTGATGTAATTGCTTTGGAGCTGTTTGTCAGCCGGAACAGGAGAAACATCAACTCTACTTTGTTTAAAAAAAACCCACCCATACTTAAAAGCTATAGTTAGGATCTCTTTATGTTTTAAAGATGAGAAAGTGGGAAAGTCTAGATTTCTTTCCTCATGTAAAGTAGGTTTTATTCTTATTTTTATCTCTATTTATTTATTTATTTATTTTGTATATTCCACCTCCAGACTGGACTGACATCCTTACACCTTGCAGCTCAAGAGGATAAAGTGAACGTAGCTGAAATACTCACAAAACACGGTGCGAACCAAGATGCTCAGACAAAGGTAAACCATGGAGTGGCTGCTGTCTCCAGTGTGCCAAAGGATGCTACCATTGTAAAAGGAAAGTGCCACTGAGCTTGCAGTTTTAATTCTTTGTTCCCTTATTCTAGCTTGGTTATACACCTTTAATTGTGGCGTGTCACTACGGAAACATCAAAATGGTGAATTTTCTTCTCAAGCAGGGAGCAAATGTCAATGCTAAAACAAAGGTAAAGAATTTTCCTTTGCTTGCTTTTGCTCTTTATTATGAACCTGGTAACCAAGCACTATGAATACGTACCCTAGGTGCTTTTTCACTAGGAAACTATAATTATTGCATGGTAGATGTCAACATATGGTGATTCGTGGCGTTAGTGGAATGCCTTCTCTCTGCTACAGCTCATTATGTAGTGTTCACAAAAGAAAATTCAGATAACTCTGAGTGTGTGAAAGAAGGAGTCTTTGAATCAGTGAAATTGATTCTCTTTCTTTTTACTTACAAACTAACAAATGCGAGCTTGTTTCTGATCTCATTTACACATGATTTCCACCAGTGTAATATCAGTGTGCTGCCAAACTAGTAAGTAACCATTCAGACGCTTTGAGGGTGATGCCAGGTTCTCTCCAGTCTGCTGGGAGAAGAATGGGAAGGATTACTGGTGACCAAAGTGCAGGTGGTATGAATTTGGGAGAGGAAGCAGCTGTGGTGGGGAAATGCAGTTTACTGAAGGCAGGTTTGGGTTTTTTTTGAGGGGAATCTGGGTACACTGATAGTGACCAGTTATACTGAAATGGACTGACTGCCTATAGCCAAAGTCTGAACGAAATCCACCAACTTCAGCAGTTTCTTCTGGTACAAACTGGTGGGCACAACAGCTGAATGTGATGCATTTTGTAGCAAGAATTGTATATCTCCTGAATACACACAGACAGGTTCTGGTGACAGCATCAGTGTGTTGCATCCCAGATATCATCATGTCGCCCTTATCAGAAAGAGAAGGCTAACTCAGGAGCTGCAGGGCTTCAGCTTAGTTAATGCTGGCTTCAGGCAATAGCTAGCTACTGCCTTCAGATTGGATGTCTTGGGATCAACGCGAAGAAGTCCATTGATATTTGTGGTGATATATACTTAGTATTTGTAAGATCCAATCAAAATCACAGGCTTGTGGTCTGCTGGTCCCTCTGGCCAGCTCCTCTGTCCCCAGCTGTGACCTGTGGGATGGATTCATTTCTCAAAGTAGCAGTATTTCGTCACAGTGGTCACAACTCAATGTGGTAAGAAACAACCAAGTAAATAAAGGATGCTGACCCATCCCCCATGAGATCACCCCAAAACAATGGGCAAAACCCAGAGATTCCAAAAGAACAGGCAACACTACTAGAAAAACAGCTGATAAGAATTAATAAAGCAGACGCTAGCAGGATCCAAACGATAGCTGCCAAGACATTCAGCTGAGGTATTTGGAGGCTGACTAAAGGGACAGACATACTTGCGTCTTTAGTATTAGGTCTCACTATGTCTAAGGGGCCACTGGGCCAGATTCTGACGCCATTTCCCCAGCTGTTTCACTTATGTAGAATTATTTTGTTAAAGTCAGCAAGTTTGTATGAGAGTATGGGGCAGTGGTTCTCCAAAATCTCACACCTAGGGACCAATAAAAATACTGGCAGTCTGTCAACTGGTATTGTGGACTCAGTTTAAAGAGCAAATCCATCCTGGCTGGATTCAGGATAGGCATGTTAAAGAATAAGTAACCTCTATTGCAGCTTGATCTTTAAGTAGAGAAAGTCTGCAAGTTTGTGCCATCCCCAGTGGAAAATAATATGGCTGAATTCTGTTTTTGAAGGACTGCACTAATATTTAATTAAAGATAGCGAATTTACTTTGCACTACAACCTATAGTAAAATCCTCCTTCGATTTCTTAGTAGTCCATGCACACATATTGTAAATATAAGAACTGTAGCAGTTCTGAACTATCACTATTTAATCAGTAGTACAAAGCATTACTTGCATCTATTTGTTTGCAAAAGAGACAACTCTCAGCATGTGTCTTTCAGAGCCTGCCCCCAGGCTTTACGTAAGTGTGCAGTGAGATCAACTTGATGTTTTCTTCCAGTTTATTCTCTGCTTGCTTTCAAAGCCAATTGCAAATAATTCTGTAAATTAATTGCCTGACTGGACTTATACAATATCATCTCAGATCAACTAGCTGAAGTATGCTTTGGTTATGTTTCTCTATTGTGTATCATTAGAATGAGTCACTGGAGCAGATAAGTATATGGAGTTAAGCGTGTTTATTAATACAGACATTGTATACATGTTTTTAAGTGTAATTACAGCTTGGTCAAGCCTTTTGAAGGCAAAGCAAAGCTGAAATTGATTGACATTTGTAATAGGTATATGTTGTTAGCCTTTTTAAAAGCAAATAGTCTCAAATCACTGCTGTTAAAAATTAAATATTTTTTTAAATTGGCTCAGATATTTTAAAGGCAAATCTTGGGGCTTCTATAGAAAACTAAGATGTAAAAGGAAGAAAAATATTCTCTGCCTCAGCTATGATTCTACATCCTTAGCATGCCACTTTAACTTTACTGTTCCTCATTGTTCCTCCCTCTGATTTAGGAAATGAGGAATTATCTGTCTTTCCAGGGATTGCTTATATTGTGAGACGAAAGATGATTTGTGAATAAAAATATTATCTTCCTTTATCTTTTCATTAATCTGGGGAAGGAGTATTGTTATTACTGAAGATTTATTATCGTTGGGTCGATTGACGGCATAATTTCTTTTTGAAATGTCTCAAAAGGAGCAGAAGGAAGCAAAGCAAAGTGTCTAAACTAATTACTGGTGATTGTTGTTCTTTCTTTCTTTGCTTTTATCGTAACCACTATGGACAACAGAACGGATACACCCCTCTTCACCAAGCTGCTCAACAAGGCCACACTCACATCATTAACGTTCTCCTCCAACATGGGGCCAAGCCCAATGCCATCACCACTGTAAGTCTGCGAAGTGCCAGTGGGAACTTGTTTCCCTGGACAGTTCTTTTCTTTCCTTTCTTAGGGCTTGAGAGTAAGCTTTTGTTCAGATCAAATCTAACTCATTGTGCACAAAGCTAAATGTGAGGTGGGGAAGCTGATTTCTGAGATGCAGGGCCAGGCTGGCCACAGCTAGCTGTGCTGTGCTTGTTTAGTTGCCCTCTGTCTCAATACTTCTGTCTGTAAATTGGTATCTCGATAAGGATTTTTCAATAAAAATTAAGGGGAAATCAGAACCTGGGATTTTTTTAAGATTTAGACCCAAATTTCTGTCCCTCTATCCACTGGATCTGTTTCAGGTTCTTACTGAGTTCACTGATGTTAATGCCTCCTCAAGGACCGTCAGTAACCTCTGGCACAGCTCCTTCTCCGCAGTCAGCCAGGAATGCAACTGTCCTGTTTCATGTTGATGTTGTTATTAGTCACCTCTAATTGGGTAATCTTTAAAACGCAGCCAGAATGTCCAAAACTCGTGCCATTCTCCAGAGTGGATCAGGTTTCCGTGCATGGTTAAATCAGCACTGGCACCCTGTTTGGTCCTGGAATGATCACACTGGATAATCTTCTGTGAAGTTATCCAAAATACCAGTTTATGCACCAGATCATCAGGCAAGAGACCATTGTAGTCAGCTTCTGGAGCTGTAGATACCGCTGGGCATATTCAACCAAAGGTCTCTTCACTTGCTTTCAGTCCGTGTGTTGGAGCTGTCATGCCCAAATCTAACCCAAATCCAAGCAGGGTCTCAAGGATGAGACTGCACAGTTTCATTTTTACTGCACAGTTTATATGCTTTCTCAAGTGCTAGATCTGTTCCTGTCCCCGCAGCACCACCTCTAGCTTGAGATAAGAGAGAACATCAACCCGAGACATCTAGCAGTGGGATATGGGAGTGGGATACGAGCAGTTAATGAGACAGTAACAGTCAAATTATTTGTGCTGTGAAGATGCTCATCTATTCATTTTGTGCTGCTAATCCACAGTGTGTTGCTTCAGGGTTGCTGAGCTAGACTAATACAGTATAACTGAAACTATAGATAACTAAAGCCAATACTGAGGTAGAGAGAAGCCCTCGGGCTGATATCCTGCAAAGGGTGCAGTGGTGTCACAAGAGAAATCATTTTAGTGCAAAGAGCAGGACAGTGGCTTTCCATGATTCCCCCAGCAGGCCAGCATGTTGTCCTTTGGTTCAGTGCAAATTAACAAACAACAACTCTGTGTAGAACTCTTTACAAAGAATCATGGAACACCTCCCTTCCTCCCCTTCCCAAGCTGAGTGACGTGGGGACCGTGGATTGCCAGCGTTCCAAGTGATGAAATGGAGATAAATAAGCCTAAACACTTACTAAATTACCATTTTAATGTCCATTTGATGAATGGCACATCTATATATCATGGGCATTTAAACTGCAAACAAATTTATTAAAATGGAAATTAATTCCCCACCCTGAAGCCTTACAGAGGTTGTTCTTGTGTTTATTAAATCATTAGCTTTTGTGTACTTTTATTGGACATACATTTTTGTTGTAAGGAGGAATAGAAGTGTATGTGGACGATACAGCTGTAATCTTGTATTCCCCAAAGAAGGAATTATACCTGATAAAGATTTAACAGTTTCAACCGGAAGTGAAACTGTAACATTTTAAAATAGTTTTTATCGAAGAGTATTTCTGATGTAGAGCCATTTATGCAAAATAAAGCATGAACTTCTGCAGACAAGACATTCTGTATACAGTGAACTTTGAGCACTGAAGGGTTAAACCATACAGCACTTTTTTATTTAGAATAGCAGGCAGATGTAAGTGTGTTGTGTTACCATGGTAATCAGGGCTATAGTCTTAAAGAAGTTACAAAGAGAGAGTCAGACTTAACGGTAAAAAAACAGTGATTTTCCTAGGCTGTGCCTTGTTTTGGATGGAAATGCTGGCTCATGCAGTGTTGAGAGTGATCTCATTGGTTCACATCACAATCCTCCCTCTCATTGCGCGCTCTCTCCCCCCTTCTCTCTTTTCTCTTCAGAATGGTAACACTGCCTTAGCTATTGCAAGGCGTCTGGGATATATCTCAGTGGTCGATACGCTGAAGGTTGTAACGGAGGAGATTACCACCACCACAACTGTGAGTTGCAGATGCATTAAAATGTCTCTCTTCTTTATTCAGAATGTTGTCTTTCTCTTCTTCCCTCAGCCTCTCCATGTATCTCTTTCCTTTTTTTGTTTTCTGGTTTTAGCCCCCCCTTTCTGTTGGATTTTTGCAAAAGTGCTACAATGCTTTCAGTGTATCTTTTAAGCGTGTGGAAGTGTGTGCAACACAGCAGACTTCACTGAGCTATGTGCATATAGATGGAAAACAACTATTCAAAAGCAGAGTAAAACTTTTTTCTTAGATACGGGTCTGGGCTGCGAACCCAAACTTTCCAGAAGTTTGTGCATTGTTGTTTAGATCCTGTCCTGTTTCTCTGTTTCTCTTTTCACCTCTTCTTTCGGTATGTCCTTATATTTCCACACTTTTGACACCTACTGAGGCTCAACCATTGCACCGCACCACAGGAAGCTTCTTAGCAATTGGACTGTACCAGCCATGGACTGGTGCCAAGCTTAATGATGCTCACTAGATGGCTCTGAAACACATCAATCACCTTTTTACTCAAGTCACTTTCAGTTCAAATAGATCTTGTTTTTCCAGATTACAAAAGAATCTTTCCTTATGTTCTCAGTCCTCCACACTCTTGGTAGTCTGTATTTTGACTTCAGGGTTTGTGAATAGTATGTGCTGAACATCAGCATGGTGGTACTGTTGCTTTAAGCCAGGAAAAACTGATATATTCTGACACTCTGGGAGGAGAAGGTTTTATCTTCTTGGACTTTTAGCTCCCATCTACAAATGTTTTAGCAGGTAGGAAGGGAGAATATTAGAAATAGTGCATCATTTAAGATTTAATTTTAATTTACATTTCTGTTACTGCATTTTATCTTGAAAGACTGTTGTAAGGTCATGTTTTTTTTTTTAATGCAAGGAAGATTAGCAGTCCAGAAAACCTATCAGATGTAGATGTCATTTAGGAGCTCAGAGCTGTAAAAATCCACAGATTGCTTAAAAGATGCCACTACTCAATCAGGGAGAGGATTAGAGGAAGGGCGGAAATGCAAAGTCTCTTGTAAAGAAATGGGAAAATAATTTTGCTTTTGTCGCATGCTGACAGCAAGTCCCACTGATACTCACCGAGCAAGATGGAATAAAAGTAACATGGCATAAGGTTACAAATAGAGTGAACCATAATTTATTAATGACCCTGCAAAGATCAGACTGAGTCAGGTTTGGACAAGGAATTCCAGCATAATTCCAGAAGTCTCTTAAGACTGTATGTTTTTGTTGTTATTTATTTCGTGTTCTTGTTTAATCATATAGAACATCACACATGTGCGTGCATAAACACGTATCTATGCAGAGATTTAGAAAAACAAAACCTAGGTAAAATTTTTAGAGAAACTTCAGCTCTTTTCAAAAGTATATTTTTTAGCTTCAAATGACACCTTTACTGTTCTCTGTGCTGTGTCCTGGCACGCTGTTTCCATTTATGCCTGATATAAGTTGTAACTTCCTTTCTGTCATACATTGTCTTGCACTGTGGAGCCTTGTACCTTGTCATATGTAAGTATTAAATGCTTTGTAGTAATAGGGATTGCACTATGAAAAGACACATGTGAGTTGTTTACTTTGGATAAATGTTGCCTTAAACTTTGAGGGTAATGGATTTTTCTACAAGATACCAGATGCTTGGGGTTTGGGACCGAGTCAAATACTGAACCTTACTTGCATAGTTGACCTCTAATGCTTGCATATAAGAGACATCTGAAATCTTGCATGATGTCTGTGTACAAAGCACTGCTTTTAAAAGTCAGGTGGGAACCCTTTATAAACCCAGCTGACTTTTCAGCCATGAATTTGTCTGAATCTTGTACCTTAGGGATATATAGAGTATGAACCTGTGCTGGTGGTGTTCATGGTGGGGAACGTTGATTAAACATAATTTAGAACAAGTCCTAAAAAGAAGGGGTAAATAACAGGCGCTCCCTGCAGTAAAGTTCTCCAGATGGTGGGGTTGGTGTTGCCAAACCAGAACACAGCATTTAGCACTACAAAAAAGGTGCTGTCACCATAGCTACTTCATTCTCTGAGGTTGTAGCTGAGTGATGCACAGAGGATGTTAGACAGGGGGATGCTTTATTGGTATTCAAGTCACTCGCATTTGAGATGAGGAAAAGATCTCCAGTGCCAAAGCCTTTGGCCTAACTTTGAACAAATTTTCCTCTTGCTTGCCTTAGTCTTGTTATTAGTGGAGCCACATGAATATAAAGCAATAGAGAGAATAAAGTGCACTTATTTTTACTCACTGATTAGACATGAATAGGAAACTAATTGGAATAAGCTAGACTTTCAAAGATTAGCTACGCAATTAAGTTTTGGGGTATTTATACGAATAGGCATAGTCTTCCTGTGGACAACCGAATATATGAGGAGCTTTGAGGTTGTTTACAGTATGCCACTGTTGAGTAAGTAATCGCTGAATGTACATATAGCTTTATATACCTCAATTGTATATCTGAATTATTCAATGCCACCAGATGAAAATCTGGCCCTACAACGAAAGTCTTAAATGCAGAAGCCTAAAGTAAAGTACATAATTGAATTCTCAGCGGCACTAAACAGTAGGGGGTCTGAGAAGTATCCATTGAGCAATTTTCAAAGCACGCCATTCATGGGGCTACATACGGATTTTAAATTTTGAGAGTATTTGACGTTTCTAATGTGCCTATCAATTAAGAAAATTCTAGTATTATATTAAAAGTTCATTTAAAAACATTTAAAAACTTCTGTTGGGAATTGATGTAGAATTAATGATTCTTGCAGAGTTCAGCGTTCCAGAGGTAGTGTTACAGATTTTTTGTTTTTCTGAAACATGTGTGTGCACACGCACACACACTCTCTCTCTTGATTCTGTTTTCCAAATTTTGTTTCAGTTGTTAAATTATGTAATAATTTTCTCTGACTGAAGGGAAAATCAGGAAGTAAATGAAGTATCATTACTTCTCTATAAATAAATAATGATGTCTGAGAGCCTTAGTCAGAGACCAGATTGTTATTATATAGGGGGCTGTAAAATCCTAATTTGTGAATAAATTGCTATCATGATAGATAAACCTTAGTTACTGGGGTCTGCAGATCTAAGTTAATAGAAAGACAGTACACAATGTACCTCTGTACCTGTACCTTGTGGACTAGAGTATTGTAGCATCCTTTCACTTCTGCATTCTTCTAATCAAATGGATTTTGTACATAAGCTAAGGTTGGGAACTAGGTTGTCTTAAATAAATTTTGATCATACAGCAGACACACAAAAAATAGCATTGGTGACTCCTAGGCAGACCCTTTCTTTCCCCTTTCTTCAGAATTCAGCCACCTCCTCCTGCCTTTGTTTTTTTTCCTGACTTTTGAGTTATTTTATGTGGGGAGCGTATGAACTGGCAGTAGAGAATTTGCAGTACGTTTTGTGTAGATACAATTGCAATGCCAATTACAATGCCAGTAAATTGGTACTCACATGCAGTGCTTTCCACTTCTCTTGAAAAATATACAACCCCCTTCACCTGGGTTTGTTTCTTTAGCACAGTGTCAGTGATTTATTTATTTATTTTGGTTTATGATGTATTTGTTAACTTCTGTATTGTTGAAGAGACGAGGTCAACGTCACCTGAATGATAGCATCCTTCCCAACTGTCATCGCCGGCTTTGTCAGCCTATTGCTGCCTGACATTTCTGTCTGAGGAAAGCCATGGGAATGCAGGAGAGGAGAGTCAAGACGTATTGGTGGAGACATTCAGTGAATATAAATTAATTTTCAACATAGAACATGTGTTACGAAAAACACTGCAACATAATTATTTGTCTTGAATCATGGGTAGGAGTGAATTTAGGAGGCCTAATTGGGATTGCCATTTGAAGCAAAGGGCATTGTTCTTTCCCTGTACCTCAGGAGGGTGAACTGAAAACTGCTGGGACAGTTACATATACTTAAAAAATGTAAAGCAGGCTTTTAAAACAAATTTCCAGAGTAATTACCCAGTTGGTAACTTTGTTATTTATAGAAGTGCAGTCTCTTATAATAATCAAGAATGCTATCTTTGTCAGTTTGTTAGAAATAGAGAAGTACAAAACAGAATTGGGAAATACCTAGTAAGTTTTGTGCAACAAAAACTGCTGTTGACTTCACTGCTTGATATCAGTGGGCATTTTCCCAAAAGCATATTGCATAAGGGACTCGGGATTTGGCTAACATTAATTATCCCTCAGATTGTATGCTCTTTCACTGCTTCTGCGTGTAACGTTAGTTTATGCTTGATAGATACCATCCACAACAGGGAGTGAAGTACTACCTCAGCAGGAGTTTGTGTCAGGAGACACATGGCCTCCTGATGTTCCTGTCCATGCCGAAGGGGCACATCTGCTCCTGCGTACCTTAAAGGGCGATGGGTTGGCTCACCTCTTCAGCTGACCGGCTGCAGATCTGGGTGGAGCCAGGGAAATACTTATTTTTCTGTTGTGACTAATGCTGTTCTGATCACTGCTCTTTTTTAAGTCCTTGGCATTTTGTCTCCTGTATCATAACACACTGAAGAGTTTCCTGCAGGCAACTTTTTCACACTTTGAACTTACTACAATTTCTCTCACTATGTTCTTCATCTCCTTCTCCAGTCTGTATCTTGATGCTAAAAGGATGTCCTTGTTCTTGATTCAGCACTCCTGAGCTGCTTCTATTTCCTCCTGGAAGTCATTTATGAAGATAAAATCATACTTAAAAAAACCAAACCTTCCAGTGTTCTCCTACTCTGTGCTCTCACGCTTAAAAAGTGCCCTCCTAGCAGTCCTTGGTCTATACTTGCCATGTATCACAATATTTTAAGCTTTTAGGTGCACAAAATATATCAGATTCTTCAAATAACTTTTTTTTTTTCCCCTGATGTATATGTGATTTGGGGGAATATCCATGATTGATGAAAAGGATATCATTAATATGCAGTGTAGTCACTTTTTGGCAGGGGGGGAAGAAATGTTTCAAGTGATCTGTGCAAATCCTTCACATCTTTTTTTAGTTTAAAAATTTCACATCATTCGTAACTTCATTTCCAAATGCTTTACGAGTTAATAATTTCCATATGCCACATACAACTTTGTGAAGCTCTTCTGTAGACATTACCTAATTTGTTTTAAAGTCATCTTGGAAACATTGAGCTGAATTGTTCTACACGCACCATTTATAAATAAATTTACTGAGAGCTTTCTTTTATTTTATTCTTCTGACCAGCTCATTATCTTTATTTTTTTGTACTTTTCTGCCAGAATAAATGCTACCTTATACAGCCCTGAGAATAGGAGCTACTGGAGTAAAGATGAAGAATAAACTTAGGGGAAAGGGAAACAGGTTCTAAAATGTCTTGGCAGATTCCACTGGTGTTGCTGTTGAAGATATGCTGTAAACTTTACTACTTCTTTTGGTGTTTAATTTGAGGATTGATGATTCTGTCTTTGCAGACTGTAACAGAGAAGCACAAGCTAAATGTACCTGAGACAATGACTGAGGTGCTGGATGTTTCAGATGAAGAAGGTGAGTGACTTTGCTAAGTTCCTATTCCATATCACTTATGTAACCTGTAATAGAGGCTCAAGAGAGCTGCTTAAGTACTCTGACATCTTCATTTTGCAGTGCTTGAAATGAAGTTCAACGTAATGACCTTTTTTTAATGATGTAGTCTTTATGGCATTTGAATAAAGATGCCAAAGTTGACCCAAACCAAAATCCTGGACCCCTCCATCTTTTTCAGCAAAAGCTTATCTGAACCAAGTCAGCAAATGAGAACATTTCCCGACTTCAGGTTTTAAAATGTAAATGTAGAACTGTCCCAAAGCTGGGTTTGACCCTCCCATAAAGAGGAATTTGAGCAGTAAATTTTTTGGATGAATGCCACCTATTTCAGATACATATATCTAGGAGTTCTGCCTAATTGGAAACATTTGTGTAAGAAGATGCATAAGGTGGAAGGTGAGCAGACTGTTCTCTTGAGGGAGCTTTTGGCACACACAGATCACAGATACATACGGCATGACATAAAGTAACGACATGCTAATAAGTTTGACACTTCGGTTTGAGAGTCTATTGTATGTACAGAAAGGAGGCATATGTTGTACTGCTTAGCTAAGTCCCAAGAAAATTTCTGTGATCTTCTGGAGGGAGTGATAAAGTACTGCGGTTTTATGTAGCACAGAATTGAGGAAATGGCTTAAAAACATCCCTTTCTAAAAGTTCACAAATGACTTCTTATAAATTTTAACCACAATGGCATCTGATAAACATATACACATTTGCAAGAATTCTCTAAGTTCTTTTTTACCCTTGGCAGTGTTAATTAATATTACAGTGTCTTACATATGCCATTTTATGGTTGTTATTTCATGCAAATAATTTGTAGAGTGACTAATTTCAAAAGTCTTAGGGATTTAGGAACACAGGTGACAGGGTTGGGTTTTTTCCTTCTACAAAGAACACAAATGCATTTGTGGTTCTAAATGGTACTGGAAGTTAATGGCATTCATCTTCCTAAACTGCTTGTATTACTTTTTGAAATGGGATTTATGCTGATAAATGAGTTACACGCTTGAGAAAATATAATGTTTAGGCTCCAGATACTACTTATTTTTAATGCTTGCAAAGCTGCAAGCAAAAGCAAACAAGTATGATTCAAAAGAAATTATTTTCTGCTGCATCATGATCAGTGAAATTATTTCCCTCAGGCATGTTTTTGCTATGTTTTCTCTGTTGGAAAAATACTCACCTACTTGTGTAATTATTGCCATAAATGGCCTTTAAATTGCTAGTAGCCTTATGGTAACTTTGTTGAATTTTCTCCTAGTCTTTTGAACTACCATCTAAAACCATCTTTAAATCCACAAAGCCTAGTATGTCTTTCTGCTTCTACAGGATTAATACAGGATATTCTTTTTCTCAAACCAATTTATATGTTGTGCAGCCTTTAAACACTCTGATGATGAACGCTTCAGTGATGGTGAAGCATATAGTGGCACAGGTGCTGTTAGCAGAAGTTCGTGGAGTAAGACTTACAAAATTTCTCTTTTTGTTTAACTCAGATTGTTTTATTTTTTGTGTTGAAGCAACATGAATTTGCTTAATCTGGGTGCCTAACACTCCTCCTTTTCATTACTTTTGAAGTGTGACTGGGCGTGTGTTTCCTGAAAGGTGGGAGGAAGAAGGGAAGCCAGAAAATCCAAGATTTATTACCTGTATCTTGAATATGTTGGCAGAACTTACTGTGGCCATCCAGCATGACTAATGCTCTCCAGTGCTTTGAATTAACATTCTCTGCTTTCTGTTACCATCTGACACCTACTATTTGTCAAGAGCCAGCAGATACGACATAGGTACTCTGGCACATTGCTCTTCAAGGCTCAGTACTGAGCACTTATACTGATAGTGCCTCTGTGATCCTGCTGCAGGTTGCTAAGCAGGTTGGTCACGATTAACGCATTTCATGCCATTGTCCTTGTAAAAATCTGTTTCTAAGGGCAAAACATTCAGGATGTTGTGAAAACTCCTACCACGACTGGTACTTGTCACAGGAACTTAAAATAGCTGGGGGCAGGAAGACTGCAAAACTTTTTTAATAAAGACGATGAACCTTTTAGTGATGGTGCAGTCTTTATAAGAGGCTAGCAATAAAGTTTCTGTAATACTGTGTTCTTAGCCGCTTTAAAGTGACACAATATGTTCTGAAATAAATTAACATGATATGGTAAACCTGCCAGCTGTACTTACGTAATTATAAAGTTGAACCCCAGAAGAGTACTTGAGCAAATAAGTATTTCAGGTCCCATTGTTGGAGCTTGTTCATCACTGGTGATAAGTATTTTGCTTCTGCCTGGGAAGCAGTTATATTGCATAATTGTATGCTGTTATGTTAATAATACAGTATTCATATTCCTAGAACAAATCCAAGTGCAACATCCAGTCTTAGCAGTATAAAATAAAGGACCATATAATATATCAAATAGCTTGGTTTTGTATGTAAGATCCTCCTCTGTGTAGTCTATTTTAAAATATTTTGAATGGACTGAGAGTCCCACTAGTTCTTCTTTGATTTTCATACAGCATTTTTATTTTTAGCAATTGTATTATTATTGAAAATTATTTACGTTTTACTGTACCTAACAAAAAAAAAAGTCTTTCATTTGAAGAGAACCAGATTTTATTTTTTATTTAAAATTGCATTTGATTTTTTTTTTTTAAATTACATTACTGGTTTCTACATGATAAGTATCAGAGTTAAGTGCAGAAGCAGGTGTGCATTGTCAGGGAAACACCCATGCCAATAACAGACTAGATTAAATTGGATTCATAAGCTTTTGTGCACAGATCAAGGAAGAAGTGAAAAAAAGGAAACCTCATAGGCTAGCAAAAACGTGATTATAGAAAAATCCTACTGCGTCTGCTGTGAGCCTCTTACGTGATCCTACATGTACGAAGTATTCTGTGGCTCTAATAAGTCTTTCCTGCTTTGTGACTATCAGGGCCAAAGATGTAGCGGCACGGTTTTGTTAAGCAGTTCATTCATACACTACAGACGCACACACGTGCACATATGTGTTACTGCTGCTTTCGCTGTTTTTACTCTCTACCATGAAGACTATTTAAGGATAATCATCCATCGGCATTTGCTCAGCACTGTGCACAGTGCAGATGTAATACAATCACTGTTCAGAAGGTGATGGCCTGATCTTGCGAAAAAGATTAAGAAGTGCTTCTCCTTAAGGATGGGGATTGCACTACAGATTCCCACAGGCCTAGCTGTTAAGTGATGTGGCTTATGAAACGCGTATCCATGCCAGCAGAAATGCTTTGCGTGGATAAGAGTTGTGCTCACAACGCTTCGTTATTATCATTGTATCGGGCTTAGCTGTTTGTATTGCTACAAAGTTTAGTTTCCTTTAAAGCTGTTGCTGCTAAAGAAGCAATTTGCAGCTGAGGGGTCCTTAGAGCAGGAAAGTGCAATTACTGCAAAGCGTCTTGTGAAATGTATTTTAGTGACATATACACAATTAGTGAAGTTAAGCACAAGCAGATGTTTCTGTTAGGGCTGAGTCAGTGTAGACAGACAAAATCTAGAGAAGGCAGGAACTTTTTTTTTTTTATTCTCACATATGTTGATATTGTATTGAGGAGCACGCTGCTGCTCCTATATACTCATTCCATGCCATTTTTGTGGCAAAAGAACCATGCAAACTGGTGATGGTTTATCTTTGTGACTCCCATCTGAGATAGCACAGTAAGTGTAGGGCTGTACGTAGAGGATACAAGACCAACCAGTAAAACAGGTTGTTGAAGAACTCTCATTTGTGTCTGTTTGGCCCCCTCATGTTCTGCTCTGTTTTCAGTCCAGTTAATTTTCAAAAGCTCTGGTTTCACTGTCTCTTCGAGACTCAGTTCTGGCTGCTGCAAGAAGTTGTCATAGCTCTAACCCCACTTTCCCACATCCTCCATTATGTCAGCACAAACGTTTCACCATGTGGTGAACCAACCCAGAGAACTGATCTGCCTGAAAATTAATCTCTCTGTTTGTTCTGACAAGTTATTTTTTGGCCAGATGACTTTTGCAGGCAGAAGGGAATAGAAAGGCTGAAGTAGAAGGTGAGACAGTGTTGTCAGAGGCAGCATGCCCCTGAGATGGCTACCATAAAGGTCAGTTCACACCGCATAGTAATTAATGCTGACATTTCAATTGTAGAGAAGGGATAGACAAATGTTAAGTGAACGATTGTGTGCAAATAGTCAATGGAGTCTCAAAAATCAGTTGGAATTGCAATATACAAAGAACAAAAAGTGTCTCCTTCATGAGGAATGCTTGTCTAAAAGTTGCTAGAGTCAGCCCTATGGCTGGTTGAGACACAAGGTGATGTTGGCTTTTTTTTAAAACTTCACGTTTCTTTAAAAAAATTTACAAATAATGAAGTCATCTTAAAAAGAAGGTGATTAGGACATTGAATTTGCTGAAGTGTTTCTAAATGTGGAAACAGCATCATCACATGTCCTTAAATAATTTATAAAACGAAATATGCATTAATGCCTACATACAATAATGACCCAGTGTCAAATTGTTGCATTTTTCCTCTCACAGAGTTGCTCATTTTCCTCCTTTTTAGTTTTAAAGCTTACTCAAAATTGTGATACTACATCACTGAAACATATTGACAGTAATAGTATCTGTATGAAAGCGGGGCTTGCTATCCCTTCATGAATGTGCATCAGTGACAAGGTGGCATATCTGTGAACTACTGCATCACTTAAGGACATCAAAAATGTGATCTTAGATTCCAGGAAGCAGTTCACAGCTAATCCATACCTGATTACATCAGATTTCTGGTTAAAAAGAAAGAATCCTTTTTTGTTATTGAAAAAAGTTGAAAAACTCTTGGTTAGATTTAAGTAAGTTACTGTTGCTGCATGTTAAAACTGTGAATTCAGAATAACATCGCTGGATTAATTCACGCTCTAAGTTAAGCATCTTACAACCAGTAGTATAAAAGGTAGCCAAAGAT